CAAGTTCTTCAATAGAAACGCCAGCTCTTTTGGCCATGAAACCGAGCACAGAGAAGACGACGAACCCCGCCAGGATGGAGGTGCCGCTGTTCAGGACGGGAACAATGAACGCGTCTCTCGTGCACCGATTGTTGAATTTGTTGTAGGAACCGAAGCAGATGAGCGACCCCCATCCGGGGCCCAAGGTATAAAAGATCTGCATGGCCGCTGCCGCCCACACCTGGTTCAGGTGTGCGAATGGAAGAAACGCACGAATAGCAGAGGAATGGATTTTAATCAAATAGATTTTTTATAACAAAGCCACAGATAACACATACGTATTTTCTCATATAAATACTCAACACTATAGCTATTTTGTTCACCTTCATCTCTTTAAGTCTGTTAAACTCGGGATAGATGTAGAAGTAGATTCCATCCGTGGCTCCCGGAAGTGTGACCCCACGTATCAGCAGAATGAACAGCATAACAAACGGGAAAATCGCTGTGAACCATACGACCTGCACAGCATGACAGCATGAAAACACCAAGGCAACTCTCATATGTCTGCACAACAGACCTTTCCCGGTAAATATTCACCGTCGATATGTCTAATGCTGAGCTGGATTTAAACCCAAATCGTTCCATATTCTGACGTCTGACGCTAGCAAATGTTAGCAAAGTAATTTCTGAAAAATCGTATCCGTAGAACTCTGTAAATAGCTAAGTTAATCCTCGAGATCACACGTACTTTTCCCAGAATCTTAATCCCCTTGAAGACGCAGAAGAAGAGGAAGACGAAGACCACGAAAGTCACGATGACGACCGGCCACTCGATGTGGCCGAGGTCGTCGATGCCGGACGAAATGCGCAGAAGTTTCCGGCTGAGGGAGAAAAGGGGGTAAGGGAGAGAACAAGGGTGAGGGAGAGAACCGGCGGTTGAAGGAGAGAACAAGGGTGAGGGAGAGAAACCGCGATTGATGGAGAAAATCAGCAGATATGGGAGAGAACAAGGGATTGAGAGAGAGAGCCGGCGGTATATATATATATATATATGATACATATGTGTATATATATATATATATATATATATATATATATATATATATATATATATATACACACACATACACACATCCACATACATATACAAATTTATATGTATATATACACATATAAACATACACATATATATGTATAAATACATATATGTGTATATGTATGTTTATACATACGCAAGGTCCAATACTTACTGAAAGAATTCATCAACTGATGTGACACCATTCTGCATAGCTGTTCCCTCCCTTAGTTCAGTCTGTTAACAGTAGGTGTGTTTAGGTCATATGCAGATTATATGAATAGATAAGTAGTTTTTGTAAGCTGTTTCGTCACACAAATGTTATTTCCTTGCTCTACCAATAGTAATAGTAATAATAATAACAATAATAATAATAATAATAATAATAATAATAATAATAATAGTGATAATGATAATACTGATAGTAATAATAGCAATAACAATAAACTGTTTCATCACACAAATATTAGTTTCTCGCTCTACCAAGAATAATAATAACAATAATAATAATGATAATGAAATAATAACAGTAATGATATTATCAATGATAATAATAATAACGATAGTAATAGTGATGATGATGATAATAATATAATGATAATGATAATAATGATAATAATAACAATAATAATGATAATAACAACAATAATAATGATAATAACAATGACAATGACAATACTACTACTACTACTACTAATAATAATAATAATAGAATAATAATGAGTGGATAAACGCGAAATAATGTTCTACAGACGACTGTGCAGTTGGGCGAATTCCAACTGTTTCCGCACGAGGCCCACGGGAGGTCCCAGCTGAAGGAGTGGGCGAGGAACAGGACTGGGTATGACACCAGAACAGCATAGTATGTCAGGGTTATCACGTTGATGGCAAGAGATGCCATACCAACACCTGTGTGAGAGAGTTGTTGATTATACCGAGCGTATTTGTGTTCGGTAGCGAGAGGCTTTGGAGGGGGGAAGGGTAATAAACATTGAATCGTGGATCAGATTTCTTCACCAGAGTTTTATATTTCATGTTACATTATTGCTAGACAATTCCTTGTAGCATTAGCCAAACTCTAAAGATTTACCGATGACGTACGCTCCAGTGATTTTTTTAGTTATAAGTAATCAACAGCGAACTGATGGTATACGTGTGTGAAGAGAGGAAAGCCAATGAACCCTTGCCTTTGAACGCCGGGCAGACGGAGAAGACGGCGAGGCAGCTGGAGGAACTGAACTGGGCGATAGACGTCTCCAGGAAGAACAGCGTCATGCCCACCAACACCAGCGTCAGCAGGTAAGGGACCAGGAACGCCCCTGTGCCGCCGTGAGAAACAGCCATGCATTTTTTCAGTCAGAACAATGAGATAATATTTATGAAGTGGTTCAACTGCTAGACATAGTCCAACAGCGCTCTCAAAACGATGAATACGAAAAGTTGTTG